TCTCTCTCTCTCAAAAATAAACATTAAAAAAAAAAAAGTCCAATGCTTGACTGACTGTGTCACCCAGGTGCCCCCATATGCATTATTTTTAAAATATAGAAGGACATTTGGCAAAGAATCCTTATGAATAGTTAAAGAAAACAACCTTTCAACAATGACCTCTAAATATTTTATTAATCCCTTTACTTACTATCAAAGTGTAAACTGCTTCTTATAAAAAGCACACATCTTGACATACCTGGCATCATTCTTAGCCTGTTAATCACATCTAGTCTGTAGAATAGTCACTGCATAGAGGTGCTAGGTGATCTCAGCCTTAAATAGAAGATTTTTCCCAAAGATCTCTCAAAGCAATTAGGTGTCCTCAAGAGCAATTTGTCTTATTGATGCTTCTCCTGAACAATTGGTTTGTTTTTTAGTCTTAGCAACAGTGTAACTCTATAATTGATTCTTTGTTAGTTGACTACTAGAAAATTCTTGGAAAACCTCTTTTTAGAAATGTGAGAAAAAAATAAAAATTGTGGTAAAATACACGTAGTATAAAATTTATGATCTTAAAGTGTATAGTTTAGTATTAAGTACATTCACATTGTTTTGCAGTCAATCTCCAGAACTCTTTGCATTTTACAAAACTGAAATTCTACCCATTAAACAACTCCCTAGTCCCTTCTCCTTATAGCCCCTGACAACCACCATTGTACTTTCTATGAATTTGACTACTCCAGGTACCTCATGTTAAGTGGAATCATACAGTATTTTTGCGTGTGTAACTGGCTTATTTCACTTAGCATAATGTTCTCAAGGTTCATCCATGTTGTAGTGTCAGAATTTTCATCCTTTTTGAGGCTGAATAATATTGCATTGTATGCATATACCATATTTTGTTTTTCCATTCGTCTGTCAATGGACTTTTGGGTGGCTTCGACCTTTTGGCTACTGTGAATAATGCTGCTATGAACATGGGTGTACAAATATCTTTTTGAGGCCCTGATTTGAATTCTTTTGGATATATTCCCAGAAGTGGAATTGCTGGATCATATGGTAATTCTATTTTTAATTTTTTGAAGAATCTCCATACTATTTTCCACAGCAGCTACACCAATTTACTTTTCTACTAACAGGACACAACACAAGTGTTCTAGTTTCTCTGTATGCATACCAACACTTGTTTTTCTTTTTAAATTGTTTTTTAATGTTTATTTATTTTTGAGAGAGAGAAAGAGAGCGTGAGCAGGGGAGAGGCAGAGAGAGGGAGACACAGAATCCAAAGCAGGCCCCAGGCTCCGAGCTATCAGCACAGAGCCCAATGCAGGGCTCAAATCCACGAACTACAAGATCATGACCTGAGCCAAAGTCGCACACTTAACTGACTAAGCCACCCAGGCGCCCCTGTTTTTCTTTTTTAATAGCCATCCTAATGGGTGTGAAATGGTGTATTACAGAAATAACATTGCATTCTGATATATAAACAACATAGTTGGCCTTTATTAGACTTTTGGATTGTTTCTAACTTTTTATTTTAACTAATACAGTAGTGATTACCCTGGGACATAAATCTTTGTTTAGATCTCTTATTTCTTCATAAGAGAGTCCTAGAAGTAGAATTACTGGTGAAAGTGTATGAACTTTATAAAGCATACATGTTGCCAAATTGCTTTCTAGAAGGATTGTATCAACTAGTATTAGGATCCCTCATCAGAATTAAGTATTTTTTGTTACATTTATTACCCACTTTAATTTCTTTTGTGATTTGTATATTCATAGTTTTTTCAGTTTTGTGCATTTTGAGTCATTTAAAACTTATTAAAAAGTTTTATATGTGGGAGACTTGGGTGATTCAGTCAGTTGAGTCACCAACTTGAGCTCAGGTCGCACTCTTGTGGTTCATGGTTTCAAGCCCTGTGTCAGGCTTGCTGTTGTCAGCGCCAAGCCTGCTCAGATCTTCTGTCCCCCTCTCTCTGCGCCTCCCCCACTCACGCTCTCTTCACATAAGCATGCTCTCTCTCTCTCTCTCTCTCTGTCTCTCAAAAATAAATAAACATTAAGAAAATAGTGTCCTTTAAAAAAAGAAAAATTCTATATATAGTAAAAACCTTCTTGGACAATATGATTAGAATCATTGTTAGTCAATCAAAATATCAGAACCAGAAAATCATAAAAATACTCTAAACATTTTGTTTTATATATAAGCATATATATACACACATATACACACACATATACACAAACACATACCCACCAGAGTCTTTTCTTTCAGTAGAAGTTTGCTAGAAGTCAGCTGGTTGAAGAACAGCATCACCTTTTGATTTTGGTGTTGGGTTTTTTTAGACAGCATATCCATAATGCACCATTTGGGATTTCAGGTTTCATTTCCCTCCATTAGATTGTACATTTAAAGACACTTTTGATGCAGTATCAGTGTAGTGTGCTTTTGTGTTTTTTCAAATTTTTTCTTAAATCTTTTATGATTTCTCACCCATATCTGATTTGAAACTAACTGCGCTTACTAATAACTTTAATCAAATATTTCTAAAGCATTTAATTTAGTTTACATAGAAACTACTCAGTATCTTTAAATTCATATTTTGTCTCTGCGCCAGACACTTAAGGTACATAAGTACAGGTTTGCCATAAACAGACTTAAATGTATGTGAAAATTAGATATAAGAGAGAGGCAGCATTGCAGATCACTCTGCTAAGGATGAACTGGTCAGTAAACAGTGTTGGGACAATGGGGTATCATAATGAAAAAAAGAATTTGATCTCTACCTCCCATCTTAAACAAGTTAATTTAAGATTTACGTATGAAAAGCAAATTGTAAATGCTTTTACAAGAAAATATAAGAATATGGTTTTGACTTGATTATAGATGAATTTCTTTTAATGTAATTAAAAAAGGTTGACACATTCACCTTATTAAAATTCAGCACTTCTCAGGAAGACAAACCACAGATTAGGAGAAAATATTTGCAAAAGACATCTGTTGAAGAAGTGTTACCCAGAATACACAAAGAGCTCTTAAAACTCAACAGTGAGAAAATGGATAGCCTGATTTAAAAATGAGCAGAGGCTCTGAACAGGACGTCTCACCTAAGAAGATATACAGATGGCAACTAGTGATTTGTATTTATTCAACTCAAAATATACTCAACATTATATGTCATTTAAAAATTGCAGATTTAAACAACGATGAGATTGCCACTTACACACCTATTAGAATGGCCAAAATTCAAAACACTGACAGCACCAAATGCTAGCAAAGCTGTGGAACAAGAGGAGTTCTCATTTATTACACAATGGTACTGCTCTTTGAATGACAGTTTGGCAGTTTCTTACAAATTAAACATATTCTTACAATATGATCTAGCAATTGTCCTTCTTTGTATTTACTCATATGAGTTGAAAACTTATATCCATTCAGAAACCTATGCGCATGCATGCACGCACGCACACACACACACACACACACTCTGCACACAGATGTTTACAGAAGCTTTGTTCATAACTGCCATGGCTTGGAAACAACCAAAAAGTTAACCAAGAATAAATTGATATATCCATACAGTGGAATATTATTCAGCATTTAAAAAAAAAAACATACCAAGGCATGAAAAGATGTGGAGGAACCTTAAATGCATATTACTGAGTGAAAGAAGCCAATCTGAAAAGAAGCCAATAGCTATGATTCCAACTGTGTGACATTATGGGAAAGGCAAGACTGTGGAGACAGTGAAGAGATCACTGCTTGCCAGTGGTTAGAGGATGGGAGGTCTGAATTGGTTGAATACAGAGGATTTTTAGGGCATTGAAACTATTCTGTATATTATATTACAGTGGTGGATACATGTCATCATACTTCTTTCAAAGTCTATAGAATGTACCACATCAAGAATGAACCTTAATATAAGCTGTGGATTTGAGGTGATAATGAAGTGTCAGTGTAGGTTCAAGATTGTAACAAATCTACCACTCTGGGGTGAGATGTTGATAGTGGGGGAGGCTGTGCGTTTGTGAGGACAGGAGGTATATAGGAAATCTCTGTACCTTGTATTCAGGTTGGCTCTAGACCTAAAACTGCTCTAAAACATAAAGTCTATTTGAAAAAGTATTCAGTACTTCTCTTCATCAAATGACATCCTAAAGAAGTGAAAAGACAAGTCATAGGATAGAGAAAAAGATATTTCCTCTTTAGAAATAACAAACGTGAAAAGACGTTCAACCTCATTAGCAATTAGGGAAAGGGAAATTAAAACAACTGTCCCCATATTCATTTTATACCCACTCAATTGGCAAAGATTAAGGAGTTAAGATAATGCCAAGTATTAGGGCATAGACAGTGGGGACTCTTAAATAATAAGGATAGTAAACATCAACTTCGGAACAGTCTGGCACTGTTTTTTAATAACAATAATAAAATCCATTAGATGTTAACCTGAATTACATATATTTAGATTTGAAAAACAACTATTTCCAAAAAGAAAATTAGTGAAGAAGTCCTTGTTTTACATTTTTGCAAATCTCTTTAATGTCTGGCTTAATAGAAGACAGCTGAATTTTCATATCTGCTTCACACATTCCATTAGCCCACAGGATGGTGTTGTCATCACACATCATGTAGGCTCTGGAATACCTATGATCTACTCTTGATTGCGAAAAAATCGAATAATATCTTAGTGTTGTTATGAAATAGTTTTGGCCCCCAGTCCCCCATCACACTTTGAGAATTACTATGCCAGAGAGTAGGCTACTAGCGATGAGTATCCGGTATGTTGTAGGTAGCTGTTGTTATTAAAAGGGATGATTGAATGGGGCTCCTGGGTGGCTTGGTCGGTTAAGCGTCTGACTTTGGCTCAGGTCATGATCTCACGGTCCGTGAGTTCAAGCCCTGCGTCGGTCTCTGTGCTGACAGCTCAGAGCCTGGAGCCTGTTTCAGATTCTGTGTCTCCCTCTCTCTCTGCTCCTCCCCTGTTCATGCTCTGTCTCTCTCTGTCTCAAAAATAAATAAACATTAAAAAAAAATTTAAAAAAAGGGATGATTGAAGAATGAAAATTAGGTCATAGTCTTGATAGTAAGAGAGCTTCCACCATGTAACAACTGTTACCTGTCTCAGTGTCAATTAACTGAATTGTACTTGGCAGTGTTTACTTCAAGAAGAAAACAACTAATAGAGCCCCTTCTGTTTTCCCTCAGGGGCAGCAGTATCATGAATTGAATGCATATACCTCTAGTCTGGAGGGTTTGGGGAGGAGGGGGGGTGGGGCGTGCGTGCGTGCGTGCGTGCGTGTGTGTGTGTGTGTGTGTGTTTATATGTTTATTTTTGTGTACTTGTGAAGAATAATGTGTTTTCTGTGTTTCAGATTTATATAAACATAGTCTGTCATCTATTTTTAAATATTTTATGTATAAATATGTATTGTTAAACCTTTATGCAAGACAGGGGTACAGATCTTAAATTTTTAGTTAAAATTTTATTTTTTCTGTTAATTTTGCCTATTTTCCCAAAATGCATATTGCTTTTTCTCTTTCAGAATCTTTGAAAAATGGCTCTGCTGCAGATGGTGGGAATAAAGTTTATTCTTTTCAGAATAGAAAACACTCTGAAAAGATGGCTAAATTAGGTATGTTGTTTTTCTAAGAAGGTGTATTTAACTACATTCCCCACAGTTATCATCCTAATGCATTCCCTAAAAGAATGAGGGATATCGTTTTGTATCATATTTTCAAGCATATGTAAAACCAATTATTTTTCATACTCAGATGTTTTTTCTTTGTAATGTTTGTTTACTTTTGAGAGAGAGAGAGTGCAAGTGGGGACGGGGCAGAGAAAGAGAGACAGAGACAGAATCTGAAGCAGGCTTCAGGCTTGAAGCTGTCAGCACAGAGCCGGACGTGGAGCTCAAACTCACATACTGGAGATCATGACCTGAACCGAAGTTGGATGCTTAACCCACTGAGCCACCCAGATGCTCCTGCTCAGATGTCTTCTGTTCTCAGCTAGATTTTAAGCTTCTCACAGTAGGAATCCTGTGTCTCTTTTCTTCCCACATCTAGCCATAGGTCCTGAACAAAGTTTTAAGTAAATGAGCGTCTTAAGTCACAGATAATCTGAATTTAATGACTAAGAATTTTATACTATATATAGAAAAATGTTTGTATTGTAGAAAACTGTATAAAATTGTTACAAATGGGCTGTTGTAATATTTTTCTTACTCAAGTTACCACTTATACTAATTTTACATGGATTACTAATTTTCAGAAAACTAGACTAAAATAAATTACATACAACATTAAAATTAAACTATCAATTCAATTCTTTTAAAAAATTCAGATTGCACTTTATTTGGGTCCTGTGGTATGAGGGGTCATTTTTGAAAGCTTTGAGGAAAGGAAATAACATGAAAGTAGTTTGAAAATTAGATCCATAAGTATATGAAGGTCTGGGAACAGCAAGAAGTCAAGAGCAAGGGAACAATAATTATCCAGTAAAATGTCAAGTTGTATAATAGGGCTTATAATCTATAATTACAGAACACCGATATATACAATCATCCTGGCCAGTAACCAGGTAAACATTCAAGATCAAGTGAAACACTTAAGTGTTTACATTGATGAGGGATATATAAGAATTATAACATCTGTGTTACTGAATATTAAACATTATAATATTTAATCATTTGCAGTATTCAGCTTTTCTGAAAAGTATAATATGAAATTCATTATTAATTCTGAACCTAACATGGTACATACAATAATTGACATGAATTGATCTGTTTCTTAATGTTCATAATGCACATTAAGAAATTAACAGTTTTTCAGTCTGTAAAAATGACTGCATTCTTTATAGGATCTTTGAGAAACCAGAGAAGAAATGCTAAAGTAATTATTAGAGAAAGGATCAGATAGACACCAAGACTAACCTGAAACCCCAAAACAATGAAACAGGACAAAGAACATTGGAGAAAGAGAACTAATAATAGTGAAGAGAAGAGCCCCAGAGGAGTAATCAAGTAGAAGTTCTTCAAGTAGATAATCCACATGCACATAATAACCATGATATATGTCTTATATTGTATGGGCTGCAAGAAACTTCAGTACTGTTAAATTAGGCATTTCTGTCATCACAAATCAAAGAAATTCACAGTCACAAAAAGATGGCTTTCTGGATAATTTGAGACTGATGATACTTTCCAAAATCTGTATTTAGTTTGGACTTGTGTTTAGTTGTGATTTTCTTTAAAGTGTATCTTTGGGCACCTGGGTGATTCGGTTGAGCATCCAACTCTTGATTTCAGCTCAGGTCATGATCCCAGGGTCATGGGATCAAGCCCTACACTGGGCTCTGAACTGAACGTGGAGCCTGCTTAAGATTCTCTCTTTCTCTCTCTGTCTCTCTCTCTCTCTCTCTCTCTCTCTCTCTCTTCCCCCCACCTCCTGCCTCTCCCCTGCTTGTACGTTCCTAAAATTAAAAAAAAAAAAAAGTTTCTTTGACTTATTTATTGTTGTTAATTGTGTTTACATCTAATTGTATCAATGAAGTAGAAGGCCTTAGTATTTTTAAAATAATTATAACCTGCCAGAAAATCACATGTTATTATGTATAAATGATTCAATATAATTGGTCTAACCAAGATACAGGTCTAGAAATACACTAGGAGTTAGATTGGGAATCTTTGTAAAATACATATCTGTGATGAGTTAATAAATGCAAACAAAAGAGCAAAGATAGAAATACCAAGTAGAGAGGACAGTAAGGAGTTCAGCAGCTTGGAGAAAGATGACTTTAGGGAAATTGAAAATAGATTGGTTGATAGGATCAAATAATAGCCTAATGAGAAGCTATCATTAGGCAAAGAGGATTTTAAAATTTTGTTTTAAAATTTCCAATATGGGGGCACCTGGGTGGCTCAGTTGGTTAAGCCTCTGACTCTTGATTTCGGCTCAGGTCATGATGTCACAGTTCATGGGATCAAGCCCCACATCAGGCTCTGCACTGACAGCACGGAGCCTGTTTGGATTCTCTGTCTCCCTCTCTCTCTGCCCCTCCCTCACTCATTCTCTCTCAAAATGAATTTTAAAAACCTTTTTAAAAAAATAAAAAAAATATATTGTACTGTAGTTACTTTCTCAGTAGTGTGAGAGGCATGTGGAATGGAGCCTAACTAAGGAATAGACTTACATTTCCCAACTTAACACACACTGGAACATTGTTCACTGAGAAAAAAGGTATATTTTTGAATATATATGCTATTCAAATTATATCCCTCTTTTTTAATAAAAAGTATAGTTGAATTCATGTAAATTAAAGCCACTTTACTGACTGAAGCTCTTTCTAACTTGTTTCACACAATTTATCCTCCAGACTTGAAATTGATCCAAAATATGACAGTCCCCACAAATGTACTACCTTTTTTAATATGTTTATTTATTTTGAGAGAGAGAGAGAGAGAGAGAGAGAGAGAAAGCAGGGGAGGGGCAGAGACAGAGGAAGAGAAGAGAATCCCAAGCAGGCTCTGTGCTGTCAGCACAGAGCCCAACATGGGGCTCAAACTCACAAATCATGAGATCATGACCTGAGCCGAAATCAAGAATCAGATGCTTACCCGACTGAGCCGCCCAGATGCTTCGAGAAAGTATTTTTAAAGGTAAAGATTATATTTTTCATATAAAATGGCCTTTTATGTTTAGAAGCCAACTTTTTAATCTGATGCTCCATTACAGAAACAGTTATCCACTCAATGCTATATTTTATACATTATTCACGTGTATTATAGTTTTAGACACAAAATATACCACATGTTATGGGAGATTTAAGAGTTTTTAAAGTACAGTTTTAAATATACACAGCTTCCACTTGATTTAAATCCCATTTTCTGGCCATTCTTTCTTACCCTCTGACAAAGATATGCCTCAAGTATATATGATAAAGAAATTGAAGGAGTGTAAAATTATTGATGGAAAGGACAGGGAGAGAGAATGACAGTTTAGAAAGCAGTAAGGTCAAAGCCTTATTTATTTATTTATTTATTTATTTATTTATTTATTTATTTAGACAACCTATAGATATTTGAAAGAAGATTTAAGGTAAAAGAGGCAGTACTCTTAATATAGATAGGTTTGTTTATATTCCTGGTAATAATAGCAGGCAGGGTTTCCCCCCCCCTAAGAATTTATATAAGTGAAATAAAGTGATTTCCCCCCTTCATCTGCTTAATCTTAATCCATCCCTTAATCATCTGTTAAAGATTGCTTTCTACATTTCTTTTGTCTGTTTACAGCTTCAGAACTAGCAAAAACACCAAGAAAAAATGTTTCAGTTAATTTGAAGAATGATCCTGAAATTATGATAAACATTCCTCAATGTAGCAAGGGTAAGATTTTACCTTGGTTCTTCGATAGTTTTCATAGTTGCTTCAAGTTATATATTTTTTACTTGTCTAAGTGTGTTTGTATATATTTTCTTTTCTGAAAATTTATTCAACCAAATGCAGTTAATACCCCCAATTTGTGCCTTCACATACCCATATTTAGCTATCAGTAAAAGGGGGAAATATCTGCTGATTGAAGTTGATTGATAGGGCCAATTAGAAACACCCTTAAAATCCTATTATCATTTGCTTGAGTTACCCAAATGTTCATGGAAGATTTGCTTTGCCACATTCTATTTGAAATAAGGTTTTAGGGATTTGGAAGTCTTACAGTTTGTGGACAGTTGTGGGGCAGTTGAATGAAACTAGACTATGATGAAAAGTGAAGTATCATGGTAAGTAATGTCTTTTTGTTTTATTTTTTAGGACATTCTGCTTCAGACAAAGTTCAGGTGAAGGTAAGCAATTGACTGAAACAAGCAAAAACCTTAGTGTTTCAAAGACATGAAAAATATCCACTTCATCTCTTAAATTATATAGCGCTTTATAATACACAGTATTTGCCAATTACACACCTTACATTAGGTGAAGAATCTGAGGTTCAGAGAGGTGAAGTGACTGGTCTAAGTTCGTCTAACTGGGAAGGAGGAAAGCTGGAAAATGAAGCCAGGTCTTCTAGACCCAACTGTTGTGCTATTTCTATGTCAGAACTATCCCTATGTCAAGTTAGTGGAGCTGGCCTGGAAATATTATGGGTTTTGTTTTGTTCTGCTTTTATACATAATGTTCTCTTGTTTCTTGAGGGACTAATAGCAAGATCCATTAAATCCACCTTTCATAAGGTGGATTATTTATCCTTTCATAATTTACTTTTTTTCATAATTTATTTATTTATTTATTTTTTTTTTGAGACAGAGAGAGACAGAGCA